TCACACAAGTTATCCAAGGCGCATTTTTGTGGAACGTTTTTCATGGAATTCACTTTCTTACTGTTTAAAGAGAAGTCAATATTCAAGAGGCATTAGAAAAGCAATTGATTTATGAACTTGTTTTAGGAAACCAAACAATTTAAAACTAAAAATTATTTGAGTAACTGCTGGTTATTTAATTTCCTGAAACACTTTCAACACATACAAATTTCTTGTTTGAATCCAATATATTTATATTGAAAGTAGAGCCCAAAAGAGTTTGGTTTCTAGTTTCAATTTGGAGAAATCTATTTTTTTCAGTTAAAGAATTAAAAAAAATCATCATCAATAAGCAATTTTCTCCCTCAAATCCTAAGATCACTGATTAAATGCACAAAATTCTTCCTTATTATATGGGAAGGGGCGGTAAAAGGCAGATTAAGTCCAAATTAGTACTGAATTATTGTGGGACCATCCTCGTTCAATTATAAGAGGCTTCAGCTTAATACGACTTGACAGTTATGGCTAACTAGTGACACTTATGCAGACAAAACAAGGAGTGTACGATAACTTCATTTGAGATATTCAGTGTTTATGAAGTTGTCCTTTGCTTTACAGTTATCAGCTTCCATATATGAAGATATGTAATCCTTTTATTACATTATTTTTTTCAATTTAATATTATCATTTTTATTTATTCATTTATCTTGCATATTTCTAAAAAAAAAAAAAGAAGCAATTTTACAAATAACAGCAAGCAAAATTATGTTTTTTTTTTCTAAACATGAGCAATATGTAAACATTATTGTCCATTTTTATCCAAAGTTCTAGTTAATGCCTGTCTCTACTAAAAGCCTGTAAGAACGCATTCAGAACAGATGGTCCGCAGATTAACTGATCCACGGACTAAATATGGCCGACCTAACTTTAAAGCAGTGTCGCATAATCCCCTGAAGGTCTCCCCACCTCCACTCGTGCCATTAAACAGATTAAATCTCGGTTCCAAGATTTAGGCCCCTACAGCGATAATATGTGCGCAGGCAGGGAGGCCATCAGGAATTAGTTGGTACTGCTTTAAAGTGAGTCAGCCATACTTGGTCTGCGGATCTGTTTGTCCCCGAATCAACTCGTTCTGAATGCCCTCAAAAAGGCTTGACTAGGGCTGTATTCCCAGAGCTTTTAGATCGATCTATCCCCGCGGGGAGTCTCACTAGATTACTGTCAGATAATCCAGCTTAAATGTCCATCCCGTCTACTACAAGCTATAAGGGGGTAATTAACTTTCGTGTCCGCTCGGATGACAGCTATTTAGTGTGAACCCCCAGGGAGTTAGGTCGATCTAAAGTAGATCGATCTAATCTCTGGAAATGGGGTCTAGTACTTTGGCTTTAAACCAAACACATCCTATGAAAGCATAATAATACCTATATTTCTGATCAGTTTCTAATGAAATTCTTATGCTTTGAATCAAAGAGCTCTAACTATAATCCTTTGATCCCTTATAACTTCACAATTCCATTATTGAAAATTTTACCTTTCTATGGGCAATATTTGAGTTATCTATCTATTTCAATTAAATATTATTTATTATTTTCATTTATTTATTTTGCACATTTCCTTATTAAAAAATAAAATGTACAAATTACATTAAGCAAAGTTATCAAGGACAACTATGGTACCTGTCCTTTTTTTTTTTCCTATGGGCGATATGCAAATATTCTTAAATCTGTGCTGTCCAAAAATTCTATTCATACATACCTCTACGCACTGTAAATGAGTCAGATGGCTCACACTTTGTCTTCAAACCAACTAAAATTCTTTAAATCCTCTATTAACGAAATTGTGCTGGTCAAGAGGCCTCTCCAGTCACCATGGTAACAAATGCTTCATAATCTATCTTGAATTGGATGTCATGACACCTACCTTTTCCTTAATACCATCTATGGTAATTGCTTCAAACATAAAATCCAACAGTGTATGCTCATATTGTATGTGTAGAAGTTTAGATACTAACTGCACCAACTCTATGGTACAATTACGACTTTTTATGTTATTTATCTTCCTACTACGCAGAAATCAATAAGTTTTTCTGATTGGTTGGTTGGAATTCTGTATTTCCTTAATGTAAAAATTCAAGTGCAATGTCCTTGAAACTAGGCTACATCATTGTTTCTGATTCTATGTTAATTATGCCAGCAGAGTTGATCATCATCAGCTTGAAGTTGCCATGACTATTGCAGTATGGACTCCAAACTTATCTTTATGCAAGAATTCTCAACCTTTACTAAATATGCCATTTGTTAAAAGTCATTTGATAATAGTTTGTTCTTTGATTGATCAAATTTATGTTGTATTTTCAATTAGCATTTAATGATCAAAATCTTTTTTGGGGGGAGGGGTGGGGGTGGGTGTAGGTGGTGTTATGTCCATCATTGATTCTGAATGAAATTGAAGAAATGACCTGGAAAAATGCAAATAGGATCTACTGTTTAGAATAAAAAATAAGCTAAAAAAAATTGAGCATTAAAAAAATGTACAAGGTTATTCTACACACACACACACACACACACACAGAGAGAGAGAGAGAGAGAGAGAGAGAGAGAGAGAGAGAGAGGAAAACCATCAATACCATGCCCACTTCATTAATTCCTCTTTGATTCACCCACTCAAAAGTGATAAAACACGACTCCACTATTCTCGCTAAAGGTAAAGGTAGATTAACGACTTGTTTGTCCTCATCTAACACCTGCTGTTATGTCTTAATACCAGGTTACCGTCTGACAGGTGATTTCTATGGAGTAATACAAGCTATTGCCACCATATATCTGTCCATTATTCCGTTAACAAATTTTTATGGAGTAATACAAGCTAATGCCACCATATATCTGTCCATTATTCCGTTANGCTAAAAAAAAATTGAGCATTAAAATAAAACGTACAAGGTTATTCTACACACACACATACACACACACACACACAGAGAGAGAGAGAGAGAGAGAGAGAGAGAGAGAGAGAGAAGAAAACCATCAATACCATGCCCACTTCATTTATTCCTCTTTGATTCACCCACTCAAAAGTGATAAAACACGACTCCACTATTCTCGCTAAAGGTAAAGGTAGATTAACGACTTGTTTGTCCTCATCTAACACCTGCTGTAATGTCTTAATACCAGGTCTGACAGGTGATTTCATTGGAGTAATACAAGCTATTGCCACCATATCTGTCCATTGTTCAGTTAACTAATTTTTATGAAGTAATACAAGCTATTGCCACCATATATCTGTCCATTGTTCAGTTAACTAATTTTTATGAAGTAATACAAGCTATTGCCACCATATATCTGTCCATTGTTCAGTTAACTAATTTCTATGGAGTAATACAATCTATTGCCACCATATATCTGTCCATTATTCCGTTAACAAATTTCTATGAAGTAATACAAGCTATTGCCACCATATATCTGTCCATTATTCCGTTAACAAATTTCTATGGAGTAATACAAGCTATTGCCACCATATATCTGTCCATTATTCAGTTAACAAATTTCTATGAAGTAATACAAGCTATTGCCACCATATATCTGTCCATTGTTCAGTTAACTAATTTCTATGGAGTAATACAAGCTATTGCCACCATATATCTGTCCATTGTTCACTTAACAAATTTCTATGGAGCAATACAAGCTATTACCACCATATATCTGTCCATTATTCAGTTAACTAATTTCTGTAGAGTAATACAAGCTATTGCCACCATATTACTACTACACTTTGATCTTAGCCAAAAGGCTCCCTATTATTCAGTAAACCTATTTCTATAGAGTTATACAAGCTATTGCCAACATATCTCTGTTCATTACATGTATCCACCTATCATACCAGTTATAGGTTTACTCATGTCAGAATATTTGAGGAACAAGTTGATCTGCAGACTGACAGATCCCCAGATCAAAAATGGCTGAACTTCATTAAAGCAGAGCCAACTCATCTGCTGATGGCTTCCCCGACTCGGCACACGCCACTGAACGGATTAAATCCTAGCTCTGTGGTTTAATTGCTAGACCCCTGCATGGAAGGCACGAGTGCAGGTGGAGAGACCCATCAGCAGATTAGTCGGCTCTGCTTTAATGAAGGTTGGCCATATTTGATATGTGGATCTGTTAGAGTCCATTAAGAACAGAAGACTTACAGATGCCCAGGTTCAAATATGGCAACCCACTAAATAGTTTGCCGCTTAATTCCCGAGTAGACACTGAACAGACTTCCAGCGGGGATTACGCAATAAGCATTCAAGTGGATCGGCCATATATGATCCGTGGATCTATTAGTTCGCTGTTGTGAATGCGCTCTCAGTCTACAGATCAACTTGTTCTAAACGCCCTCAATGAGACCATTCCTGGCTTATGACCTGGTTTGGCCAACTTTTCTGGTCTAGACAGTGATGGGTACTCTTGCTAGTTCACGGATCCATTTACAGATGGGGTGAATAAGCTGATGTGTGCTCAATGTATTATTTATTTATTTCAGTTTTATTTATATGGGTTCTATTCATAGCACACACACAGACAGCAACACAGACCCATATACCTTGATTGCTTGTCTGTGTTTCTATGCAAGTCAATATATTTGAAAGCAACAAATTGATGTGTTTGCATTGTTTCTATTCCAGTGCAAGTTGGGAGATAGCCTTTAATGTTTTTAGCATTATGTTCAAGAAAATAATTCTTTTGTTTCTTAGGGCTCTTTACCAATGAAACTATTAATCTGTGAAGATAGCTCCAACTCATCTTGTTGCCAGTATACTGCCAGCTTCATACTTATAACATAATACCAGCTTTTTTCTGTACGCGACGTAACGCTAGGAGGCGTGTTAATCTGTTAAACTGATTGTATTCAGTGAGTCCCCGCGGAATTGGATCCATCTGCAGAGAGGGATAGTTTCAACTGGAATGAGCCAAGCCCTTAATCAAACTCAATCACATCATTGATGACTTTTGTATTCTCCTTCTCATTTTACCAACCTTCAAATTTGCTATCTTCAACAGATCTTCTTATCACTCAATCCAATGATGTAGATACCAGGTTTGTCTACAAGAAATGATAAACAAAAAATCCTGTTATAAACAACTAAAAAAATTATGACAAAAATACAATGAATCTCCAGTAAAGAGTCAAGGCAGCGTATACACTTCACTAAATACAAGAGATTATATTACACTAAAAATAATAATTGAAGATTTTTAAATTTATTATTGACATGGTGCACAATTAACTTACGTGTCTGGCTATATGAAAGATGAATGTCAACAACACCTTCGATGGATCCAAATGTATTACATACATGCACACATTCCCACCCGCATATAAGCAAACACGCACACACACACACACACACACACACAAAGACTAAATTTGTATTAAAAAACCTATTGATCATATGAATTATTATAACCAAGTACTAAGTAACTAGAATGTGGTATAAACTTAGTGCCCCCTATTTATATCAGTAATGGATCATTCCAAGACCGTACTACTGGTAACTGTGGATCAATCTATCTCCAAGGGGATTCTCGCTAAATTGCAATCAACTTAAGCAGCTTAGATGTGTGTCATGCCTACTGAAGCTGCTAGAGGGTAATTAATTATCGTTTAGCAGCTTCAATAGGCGTGTCAGACATCTAAGCCGCTTAAGCTGAAAGCAATTTAGCGAAAAACCAATGGGAGATGGATCGATCCTGTTAAATCGATCTACGTATGGGAACCTAATCTAAAACACAGCTCTGCACAGGTTTCATTTGTTTGAGAGCAAGCACAGGAAGGGGTATAGCAGAGAACATCAATGTATCAGACATGAGCCTGAGTTAAAAAAAAAAAAAACCTCTGCACATTTATCATTAGACCCAACACCTAACTTTGATGAATCTCAGGAACCTTCAGAAATGAATTAAAAAACACGGAATTCCGCTTTTCTGAAGAAAAAGCTCATATCTGATGTACAGTATATACGTACACTTAATCTAAGAAATGGACTGAATGAGCATGCAGTTCTAGAATTCTACAACCTTTTGTTGTGGTTATGAGAGAAAAACAACAAGGTTGTCACCATTTTATTGGTTGACAAACAACATAACTGGACGAAATTGTCAATGATCGATTAATTTGTTGTCATTAAAATGAAGTATGGTATGCAACACAAACAGCCCTGTTTTTGCAGTTGTCCCGAGTCAATAGCACAGGAGAGCTATAAAACACAGATGAGCTCTAAGCTCTAGCAATTGACCATAATAAATGCAATCACTTGATACATGTATCAGTTCCCTGAATGGCTAATAATAACTATATATCAATTAATTCACTTTTTCAAGTTATATCTTTTACATTGTTGGATTTCTACATTACTTCACATTTCACTTTATGGGCGCATAACCAAAAGTAACTACAGTAAGGAAATATAGCAAACACATAACCATCAAATTATCTCTGATTTAAAGCCGAATTTTATTATATTAATTTGTTAAAAGAGAGGGGGAAAAAAAAACAAAACAAAACAGAAAACCATCACCACATGGCTAGACTATTCAACCAACTGAATCGACTTCTAAATAATGAACCAGTCCTCCTGATGCATTATGAGGACGCAGACGGAGAAAACAAAATCAATAATACACCATTGGCGTCCAGTCAACATGCTTTCCTGCATATGCATTGCATAACTCCTCAAGCTTTACCATTAAGTTTGTGTTAAGAATAAAGTCATTTTTCTTCAATCAACAGCTAATATCGACAGCTTATATTATCTCCAGCATTTCGATCTCTCTCAGAGCATCTTCATCAGGGAATGAGGCTATCCAGGCCAATAATCTCTATCCAGCCTTAGCTTGTGTTATTTTCATGCTTCAGTTGGAAATTTATAGGAGTCTATAACTCAGATCAGTCTAGTCAATATTTCCCATTGTATAACGTTAGCCCCGGCTCTAGGTATATTAGCAACAATTAAGATTTCAGACGGCTCTTATGGCGTAGTAAGCATGATGCGTCTGTATGCTACATTAAATCAATTAATGGATTTCTTTTTCTATCCTTATTGCTTCCACTCGATCGAGGGAATAGATGAGTGTGTTATTCATAATAGTGTAATTTGGTGTACAGTAGAAGTCTATGATCTGATATTCCTGCCCATGAAACTATGCTTAGTTGATTTATGGATATTATACTGCTATTATTATGAGGAAGGAATCCAAGCAGAAAGAATCACTGAATAGGATACATACTTCAATTATTTTAGTACAGTTCAGAATATGGTTTAATATGCAACACTTTATGCTGGCAGTAGCATACAAATGTTTACAAAAAGCCCTTTATTTTGACATTTGAATCGGATACGTTTTAGAGAATAAAAAAAATCTTTTACTGGTGATTTATAGAGATTTTTGCATGCGCAAAATTCAAAATCAGGAAAATATATCATTTGCTATATGACTTTTGTATCAAGTATTGATTTGTTAAAAGCCTCTCTGGAAATAATGTAATAGTTATCTACTGGCATTTGTGTGACATAACTACAGAGCACGAAAGCACTGAAAACCACCCAAGGGCAAGAATGAATAAAAGGGCTTTTGATTACTTTTCTAGAGTAAATTGCAAAGACAAATAAGAAAAAGTTATTATTACTAAAATCTTAATATCACCGTTGTATATTTACAAACTAGATTGAAATTTCTTGAAACAAGAATTTAACTTGATGGGATTTGTGATTCTAAATATATATATATATGTATAAATAAATTCACATTCGTTTATTTTACCAATGTACCCTTCAACAACAAAAAAGACCTTTGGGGTATATAATTGAGCCGTTTCTATAATATATATTTCAATTTTTACACCAGACACTAAGGTAGAGTGAAATTAAAGTTGAACCCCTTGCTCTTCAGGGTGAATCAACTCCAGGCTGAGCTCGTGAACCTAGAAATCCTACATTTAGACTGCTCTGTTGGCCCCCAAGTACAACATAACCTTCAGAGTTATCTTCTGTAACCATTCATAAAGACTCTCTATATCTACAAGGTATGTCATTTCTATGTCATTTAGTACTACTTCAATTTATCCGAGAAAAAAAATCGAAAACTTACCGCGTGTAAGGTCAACTTTCTTAGTTTCCTGCGAATGACGTCATGGATTTCCGTGTATTGAATAATACGTCATCAAAACGGCGGGAAAATACACATGTCTGGACTTGAGAGATATTGATCGTATAACCCATAATAATAAGTACAAAAACACAGTGCCATCGAATTATAGCTGGCACACTTCACAACGTACTATGCCTGGATCAAGAAGAAAAGCAGGTAAGACTCATCTATTTAAAAATCAAATCAGACTACAACCACTTTCTTTTTGAATTTTTGCGGTAGCCAGACACTGACCCTGCTAATGCCAGTGCCATTGTAAACACTAGTCAAAAACCAGCTTCTTTCCCCCCTATTGCTGATAGGTTATCACCCCCCCCCCCCCTCATCCCATGGTTGGTGGAAATATCATAAGGTCAATAGAATGCACCATAACCTAAATGTAACATTCAGTTTACAAGTCCAGCCTTTTTAATTGAAATTTCTGACTCGGGATTGTATGTAGTGCACTGCAGAGGGACCCCCTCCTCCCTACCCCCCCCCCCCCCCCCCAACACACACACATTCACTCACACACTCACTCACACTGTTAAATGAAATCCGAAAATATGCACTTAGGCAAAAGAAAAAAAAAACGTTGAAAAACATTTTAATCTTATGCCCCTTTGCATTTTCAACTACACTGTACTGTACATCTTCCAAACTTTTAAACCTCTTTTAAAATACTTGTACTTGATTCTTAGCCTCCAGTCCAGGGGATGCTGAACCCAGTACCAAGCGGGTGAAGACAGAATCTGTGATAGATGGCGTCACTGTCCAGTGGGAGGTTGAGGACAGGAAGAACACATGGATGTCATACCCTGCCAGTCAACAAGGAGAGATTACTGAGGGGTTTAATAATAAGGAGACACAGGTGTGTGTTTTAAAAATTTTAAAAATGGACTGAGATGATTAAAAATTCTGTTTCTGTGCCCTCTTTAATATTGGTGGACGTAGAACTATTGGTACTTTATTAATTATTTGATTTATTTGGTTATATTTTTTTAATTGGAATTAGCATATATATCACAAAATGACAAATTCTTATTAGTGAGATTTTTGGGAAGTTCATAAACTGGCCAGAGGAACCACACTTTTTAATTAAAAAATTTTAGTAATAGCAATCTCACCGCCTACCTAGAGAGAAGGGACATCATGTCCTTGTATCAAAAATAGTATAATTTACTTTTATTTATCTAAGGGGCCATTCAGAATAGGGGACTTACTAGTCCACTCCAAGGGTCAAATATGGCCAACCCACTTGAATACTTCCCCACAGGGAATCTATTCGGTGTCTATTAGCGGATTAGATGACAAGCTTTGTTGTGGGTCGCCATATTTGACCCTGGGACTAGTTAGTTCCCCATTTTGAATGGGGCCTATGAAACATAATATCAACAAAGTCTGACTGTTTACCTTTCAAATTGATGTATTTTTTTGACAATAGGTGGCACTTGTTGATGCAAAGGGTGATGAAGTGACAGTGCTGTTTGATAAAATGATGCAGAAAAGCAAAAAGACAGGATGGGAGAAGAGGATTCACTGTGCAGTACAGGAGAAAGAAGGGACAGGTAATAGGAAGTAATGGGATTTCTATTCTTAGTGTAAAAATTATAAGTTTTTTTGTGATTCAAGTTGATATTTGACTTGGTTATCCCCGGGTCAGAACATTTAAACCACTGACATCATTGATTTTGGAGGGGAGGGGGAAGGAAAGAAGGGTATTGATGCCCACTGAAGCTAATATACTGTAGTACAGATTATATTTGCGTTCACTCGTGACTGTATTGAATGTATCAAAAAGATGCTGTTGATATTGAGAATTGAGGGAGGAACTACAGAAAATAAAATCAGATTTAAAAGATTTCCGTTTAGTGTATTGTGATGAATGTCTGTATGATCATCAATATGAGGTTTTTCTTTAAATTTTCATCAGGTTTTATAGTGCAAATGATTCCATCAGGTTTTATAGTTTTAGTTAAACACCACATTGTTCAGTTATTTTCCTTAGATTTTTCATACCAATTAATCTTTGACTTCTTCAGATTTCTACACATGGCAATGGAAAGATGATAAAAACCAGTGGAGTTTCTTTGGTGTTGACATCAGTGTCAAGCTCGAAAAATCATTCCATAGTCAGGACAACACTGTTTCATTAACAATAGCAAATAAATCATATACAGTGGATATAAAAAAGATGGAACAGAAAAATGATGATACAGGGTACTCCAGAAAGATTGCAAGACAGATTTCAGGTCAGTTAGTTTTATGCAATTAGAAAACTTGATGATTATAAAGTTTATACTGAATAATTGTGGTAAAGTTATATTTAAATATTGCCGACAGGCTCGAGCAGCAATCTTTGGATTGTAATTTTATCAAACAAAAATATAAAAGCTGATTTTTTTTGTTGACTGCATCAAAATTGAAAAAGTAACCTATGAAGTCTGTACATTTAACAGTTTTGCTTTTTTTAATATAGTCTTCCCAGTTGCAAAATGTAGACATTTTACAATTTCTGATTAGATACATCTCCATCATGTGGTTAAAAAGTGATCAAAAGTGATCCTTAAGCAGGGGCAGATCCATGTTTTCTGACAGTCTCCCAAATTGTATTTTGTTGATCCATCCTCCATTTTTGACTGTCTTCCGACACGTCAGATAAAATTAGATGTCTGTCAATGTAAACTTGAAAATCTGACCGTCTTCTGGAAGACCCAGAAGACGGCCTGGCCTCAGTCTGCCCCTGTTAATTGCCCTCCCCTCCATTAAAAAAAAAAGAAAGAAAGATAGAAACAGATCATTTATTGGGAGATATTTTATTGATATTGTCCATATTATTGTATCACAGATCATGAATATATAGATGTTCTATAAAGAATTTATTTTAACTGCAGATGCTACAGCATTACCAGAACCACCACCATCAGTCAAAGCAGCCATTGTTGCAAAGCCTTCTGGGAAGAGGAAAACTGCAGATAACACTGAGAATAATGTTGATGAGACTGGGGATGCAACGCCTGCTGGAAAAAAAGGAAGATCGGGGCACAGTGCAGTTAAACAAGAGAAAGAAGCAGCATCAGCAAAACCTTCCACGTGTAAATTTCTTCTTTGTCAAAACATACATTTAAACAAGATATTTTGGGGACAGTTTTTTTTATCTGTTTAAAAGATGATGGTAGATTTAGTGATTGATTATGTATTGAATTTAGGATTTTACCATGATGGTATCACAAATCAAGCTTTAAAAAGTCTCTATTGCAGAAATATTTCATCGGGATATTTTTTTCAAATTATAATTGTAATGAATTCGCCAAAGACGTAAAATAAAGAACTGGAAATTACTGAATTAAATTGCCTATAAATATCATCTTTCCAGCAAAGACGGTCCTGTTAAAAGGCAAGGCCCCGGTGGATCCAGAGTGTGTCCAGAAAGCAGGCAAGGCTCATGTGTACTACGAGGGCAATGATGTCTATGACTGTATGCTGAACCAGGTTAGAACAAAGATCCACTGGAACTGTTGTAGTTGTACAGTAGCACCTGTTTTTTTTTTTTTTTTTTTTTTTTTTTTTTTTTTTTTTTTTTTTTTTTTTTTTTGCAAACAGATTATGGGATGCTGTTGTTAGCAAGTTTAGAAAAAATTTTTAAAGCTTTCTGCTTCATTTTATACATGTATGCTTGCACCAACATACTCTTATAATTTTGTTACAAAATAAATAAACTTGAAACTTAATTTCGGACCAAGCAATTAATTGTTTACTTTCTCTTTTTCTTTTTCAGACAAACCTTTCAAACAACAACAACAAGTATTATCTGTGTCAGCTGCTGCAGGATGATGGGAAGAAGTCGTACAGTGTTTGGTTCCGCTGGGGTCGTGTGGGGAAGAAAGGACAGAACTCTCTCTTCCCGTGTGGACCAGACCTGGAGGAGGCAAAGAGCATCTTCTGCACAAAGTGAGCGTTGATTTTTACTTTTGGTAATAAGTTATGGTAATGACTTGATCTTTTGAATGGGCAACAATGGGAACAATGCAAAATTTCTTTGTTGACAGAAACTAAATGAAAATTAGTAGTATGTGGTACTTTGCCTTATTGTGATAGTTGTGTTTTGTGTATCTTATTTTCCAGATTTCATGACAAAACCAAAAACGAATGGTCTATGAGAGACAAATTCCAGAAAGTCCCCGGAAAATATGACCTTATCAAGATGGACTATAATGCTTCTGTAAGTATATTTGCAAGGATGAGAATTTTCTGACTATCAACACTTTTTTTTAAGCCTAAAAGATTGTTGGCCTAGGCAGCCCCTATTTCCCACACCATATTTTCTATTGGTTGAGCACAGAGAGAAGAACCTTTACTTTCCTTAGAAGTAATACATATCTGCCAACTTTGTGCCTTTAGTTCAAGGGCACATTGTATATTTAAACACATTTGATATACCTCTTCCAGTTGTGACTATTTTAACTCGAAAGTAGTGACCTGAATCTAATTGAATTGAAAAATGCTAATTTTTTAAAAAAATAATACAATCCTTTTACAGATGTGGTTCAGTGAATAACGTAAAATAATCATTTGTTAAGCAACATTTACTCGGGACTAGGATTTAAAAAAGTAAGTTAAAACATTGAAATGTCTGAAAAATACTAAGTGGTTTTCCTCACTCAGAGGGAAAATGTTAACTATTGCTGCAGCAAAAAGAATCATCTGTTATCCTCCTTTATCCTCTTAGGATGAGACTGACTCCGGTAAAAAGAAACTTGAGAAGCAAGAAAAAGTTCCTCCGTCCAAACTTGACCCCCGCGTCCAGAACCTGGTCAACTTGATCTGTGACATCAAGACGATGGAGGATGCTGTCCTGGAGATGAAATATGATGCACAGAAGGCACCTTTAGGTATGTTAAGCAGGGGCGGATTGAGGTCATCTTTTGGGTCTTCCGGAAGATTGTCAGATTTTCAAGTTTACATTGACGGGTATCCATTTTTTTTCTTTTGGAAGACGGTCAAAAATGATGTATCAACAAAGGTAATTAGGAAGACTGTCAGAAAATGTCTCTGGATTCGCCCCTGATTAAGGCAGCTTTTTATATCTCCAATGAACTAGAAGGGAAAGTTTTTACCATCTCCTTACTGTTAGTAGAACATATTTTAGTACAAGAAAAAAAATGTGACATTTTTCTGTGCCGTATAATTATTCCCATTATTAACAGCAAGGAATTTATAGTGTCCTGTGCCACCACCATCCTCACCATGTGCACCCCCATGATAGAATTAATCAGAAGAATATTTAAAATGGTTGTAAAGCAAAATATTAGAATACAGTAACCAGTCTTTTTCCCAGCAAAAAAAAAAGTAAATCAATGTCTTCAATTTCAGGAAAAATTACCAAAGAACAGATCAAGGCTGGGTATGCTGCTCTGAAGAAGATAGACAATTGCATCCAGAAAGAAGAGTTTGGCAGAAAGCTGGTTGAAGCCTGCGATGAGTTCTACACACGAGTGCCACATGATTTTGGGTGAGACCTACTTGTTCAACATTCTATAACCAGAATCTATATTCTGTGTCATTTTTATTAACAGACACAGGGTTTGTGCATATAATCATCACCTTACACCCCATTTCCATAGATTAGATCGACCTACTTTAGATCGACCTAACTCCCTGGGGGTTCACGCTAAATAGCTGTCAGCCGGGCGGACACGAAAGTTAATTACCCCCTTAAAGCTTGTAGTAGGCGGGATGGACATTTAAGTCATATTATCTGAAAGTAATCTAGTGAGACTCCCCGCGTGGATAGATCGATCTAAAATCTATGGGAATAGAGCCTAAAACTGTAGACTGCATCATTTTCATGCACTTTTCACAGATAATGCATTTTTCAAGTGTTCAACTGAGCATAATCAAGTTACTTTGATAGAAGGATGCTGTTTGGTGATGTTGGGTTGATTCATTTGCTTTTCTTTGAATTGTTATTGCAAGTTAAGGAAAGGGATTCATAACAAAATCATTTTACATTTATGATAAATGTTTTTATGACTTTCTCTCCAGCATGTCCAGACCTCCTGTGATAAGAACTAAGGCAGAACTGAAATCCAAGATCCAGCTGCTAGAGGTAAGGCTGAGAGGAACTTTTCAAAGTTTCATAGTTTATAATCATAAACTGGTTATAGTGTAGAGAAGTTTCATAATTTTAACTTACAGAGGAGACTCTCTCCATGATATTTTTAATGAATTTTGCAATTTTTAGTAGCTGTTTGGTTTTTGCATTTAATTTTTAGCAAAGAATTTTATAACATTGGCATGATGACAATATTTAGCTAAATACATGTTTTTATGTTTCTATAATATCCAATAATTCAGTAGTTCCTATAATATCCAAAATATTCAGTACATTTGAAAATATAATGGAATTCATCACCAAGATTGAATATAGTAGTGATTATATGCACACAAATTTGCTGAAGAAATGAAAGCATGCACTTAAGAATGTTTTTGTAGTTTTTGTGAATCAGTAGTGTGCTCTTTCTGTAGCATACACATTTTACGGCGTATTGTTTAACATAGATATATTATCTTTTATAATATGTCTTTTTTTAAGTAACTGAGACATTTTGCAAGTTACAAATTTAAAGCATTTACAGGTTTATGCTAAGACAAATACATGTTCGTATAAACTATACTTCTAGTATTTCATTAGTTATTGTCTGTAACTTGTGTGCTTCGTGATTTATAATCTGCTTGGCATATGTGTAAATTATTTCGCACATTGTTATAGTTATTGTAGAGTTTGCTTATAACGATAAGTCATTTTCACTACAGGCACTGGGAGACATTGAGATAGCCATTAAGATGTTAAAGGAAGGAGACTTCTCTGAAAACCCTGTTGACAGACACTACCATGCCCTGCACTGTAAACTGAAACCCCTAGAGCAAACACATGATGACTTCAAGGTACCCACCTCTCTGGCAAAAGAACGTCATCATTGATAATTCTCTTTCTTAAAATTAAATTTATGATTGCTTTTCTTTTAATTGTTTAAAAATAAAGGGTTTTGTTTTGAGAATATCAGTAGTAATGTTTTCTTCTTTTTTTCAATTTTTAAGGAAAATTGACTAGTTCCAAGTTATTTACATAAGTTCTTAAACTTTAAAACCTTTTTTTTTTTCAATCTGGTTACAGCTTGTTGAGCAGTACTTACAGAACACACACGCAGCAACCCACTCTCAGTACAAGATGAAGCTTCTTGATCTGTTTGACTGTGAGAAGGAGGGGGAAGCCAAGAATTTCAGAGACGTTGGAAACAGGTGACTCTTAAACAACAATTTTTCAAAATACAAACTGTACATTTGCTTATGATATTCTCATATTTCAAACACATGCTGAGTCTTTGACTTTTTTTATGTCTAAAATGAGTTTGGAGAGTTGTTGTGGGGCGTTTGCAGTAATGAGATTGTTCTGTCTTTAAATCAAACACAATTTTTTGATGGTCAGTAATATACAGTCATTTTGAAATGACTAATTATATTGGATGTTAAATGGACCCCTAACTTTTTTGAAAACCCTACTGTGTATTGATTTGGAATTTATAAAATGCCATTATTGAGTTTTATTCCTGACGTGCAGATTATAATTATCAGCACCTTTCATGTCTCAGTTTAAGCTTAATTCTCTGTAATTTCAAATATTGTACCACAGTGTCAAAGCGACATCATTAAAGCATCCATTCCATAATGTGGATACAACTGTTGACATTTGCAGGAAACTTCTTTGGCATGGTTCACGTATGAGCAACTGGGCAGGAATATTGAACCAAGGACTGAGGATTGCACCACCAGAGGCACCTGTCACAGGCTACATGGTGAGTTGACTTCATGACAGGGTCTCTCTTGTTCTGGGCCCATTTTTCATCAACACTGGATAGTGCTACCCTCTGGATAACATTATCCATTAGACAAACTTGTTATCTTGTGGGTGAAGTAATGTTTACTAAACTTTAGATACTTATTTTTGTCTCTAATATTGCTTTCCAGTGGTTAAATGCTATCCTCAGGATAATTTTCCAGAGGATAACAATTTTATCCAAAGGATAGTGTTATCTGTAGGATAGTGCTGTCCAGTGTTGATGATACTGAGCCCTGGAGCGATGTTTCAACTTCTGAGCGGATAATTTTACATTGTTAAACATCAAACAAGTATTGATAAGTTGTAGTTAAAATTTTTAATTGGTTGTCAGCAGTCTTCATCCAATCTAATGAAAAAAGCTGTTATATGATTCTTTAGCAGATAGATAGATAGCCCACCCTTTCATACACGTGAATAATATAAAAACAGAATTATGGATAAATTGCCATGTGTGATTTGACAACTAAAACCTGTTTAATATTTCAAACATGTTTCAGACAGTGGACTGAGAACTGAAACAGTTCTGGCCAGGTTTCATCCTCAGGAAATTTCCATATTGCTTGTTTGTGAAATATTTGAAAAAAAAGCCAAGTTAAATTTTTGTTCTCAAGTAATGAGCAAAGTGGGGCATTACAAGAACTATTTTTGAACCTTTCTTATTTTATTTCAGTTTGGAAAAGGTATCTATTTTGCTGACATGTCCAGCAAAAGTGCCAATTACTGTTATCCAACAAGGTCCAAGAATGTTGGGCTTGTCTTGCTGAGTGAGGTTGCCTTGGGAACACCCAATCAGCTGCTTGCAGCAGACTATGGGGCCGACAAACTGCCCGCAGGGAAGAACAGTGTCCAGGGACTTGGGCGTGTGGCGCCTGATCCCAAGGAAGAGGTTACAATGTAAGTAACTGTTTTTATAGAGTAGTGTTACTTCAAGTTTTATATATAACACTATAGTGTGTTGCGACAATTGTTTGAGTGAACTGTCTGGTGTCTTTAAAGTGTATTATATGATAAAGCGGTTTTTCAAATTAAGAATAAAGTGATTTATTTTTCTGTTTGTGTTGGTAGCATTAGGTGTATAGTGTTTAAGTTTCTTGTTGTCTTGTTAACTGTTTCAAATTATTAATCCTTGGTGAATATGAAATGCTTTTATGTATATATTCACCTTTTGCATCTGCAACATCTGCAACTGAATCAAAAATTTAATCCTTATTTTGTCTCCTTTCAGGTCAAATGGAACAGTAGTTCCTCTTGGTAAACCAAAAGACACTGGCGTTAAAAACCCTAGTGGTTACACCTTGAACTATAATGAATTTGTGGTGTATGACCCAAGACAAGTGAGAATGAAATATCTGTGCAAAGTGCAATTTAACTTTTAGGAGACTACCAATTTCTTATCTAACTGACTGACATATCAGTGGAGAATTTAAATGTGGTAAGAATGAAGAGGCATTGTTTTCAGTGCTCCTTCACATCAGCAAGAATATTTTTTCATGGATGGTATTAAGATTTGTTTATTGTAAGTTAGAAGTGGAATGATCATTTGAGGAGTTGGCTTTGAAAAACGATAAAAAAAGACATTGATTGGCAGTAGAAAAAGGATACCTTAAGTTTCATTTCAGTGACAGAACATAGAAGTATATATATATTGATGCATCTTTGAAGATCTACATTACAGTTGTAAAATACAATCCAAGCTTTAGGCCCCTGGGCTTTCTTCGGGGATTATGAACAAAAAGTGAAAAAACAAACTCCTAGGATATGTGACGTCAGTGATGTGTTAAAAAAAGTGACAGAACATAAAAATGTAAAAGTTTTAAGCAAATATTTGTCATTTTTTACCAATTAATCAAATTATATTTCCTGAAATTTTTATTATCTGTTTAAAAACAGACTGCTTTAATTTATAGTCTTGCTAATATTTGAGTGAAATGAAAATGCACTTAACTATTCAGTTCAGTTTCCTATGGGTATTATTAGACAATCTCAAAATTTTTCATTGATAGTGTTATTTTTTTAATCAGACTTTGAAGTTTCTTTTGGTTATATGTAAGTGCTGTACATATAAGTTGTACATATGAAATACATTTTATAATTTTGAAAGTTCAGACTTGCTTTCTCTAAATAATAATGATTTGGAAAATAGCTCTCCTCAAATATAAAAAACAGACAGTCAACATTTAAAGAAATACAAAAATAAAATAAATAATTTGCTGGTGTGTGTATGTGTAGATGAAGGAATGACAATTTGATCATATGTGGACAAATTTATCCTCATTAATTACTAATAACAATGTAGTTCTGTTTTCACCCCCATTTGTTTGTAACTCAAAAACTTATGTTGGGTTTTTATGAAATTTTCAGGATAGGTCAGAAATAAGCTAACTTAAGTGATTAAATTTTGTTGGTGATCAAAAGGATTCTTCTTAAAGGATTCCTCACCATTGCCAGTTGATGTTGGCGACTTCGAGTTGATGTGCAATGAATGTGCTCTCAACTATCACATTTTATTATTGTACAGATCTTGATGGGTGGCGGTCTATGCTCATTTCTAGTTTATTTTACTTTTAACCGTTTTTTCTAAATTGGATGCCTGTATTAACAACCGCATTCAGTGTATTGTCAAGTTATCACATTTGTATATGACAGCTAATTGTTATTACTCAAAGACGTTCCTCTGTTGTTGCTGGATGAACATATGTTCTTACAAATCTTTCTGTTTTGCTGCCTATGAGATTCAGTACAAAAGGGTAATGAAGTTCAGAATGCATTACATTGTACATTGTGCATTTGTCCACAACTCGTCTTGCATGTGGTCATGTAACTGATTGTCTGCTCATTGGGTGGCAGTCATTTGCGCACCATTACAAATTTCAATCACACGCTGGTGCTGATGGAGCATGAAATTTTAGGCTCCATTCGTAATAGAAGTTTCGGTCCAAGTAGATCGATCCAACCCTGTGGGGATTCTCTCGGAGTGCAATCATCTTAACTGCATGACCACCACCTCTTCTTGTTTCCAACATACTCATATAATCAGCAGCTTTTCTGTATTCTACTAAATGCCAGGAGGAGGCATGTCATTCACTTATAATTAAGCTGATTGCACTTGGCAAGAGTCCCTGCAGAGTTGTATCATTGTATGTTTCTTGGGTCATACATTCATCTCCCACCTACTAAAACGTTCATGGACATGCATATCTTAGGCACTTGCATTTTCAGGCTGCACTTACATCTTTACGTGCTAAAAATCCAAATTCAGTTTTTTTCTTTTTTTTTACCATCATGAAAGATACATTGTATTAAAGAAAAAACTGAAAAATCTCATTTCTGGCAATTACTGGTATCTTAGTCATTATAAATTTTTTGATATGTTGAAGTGACTAGAGTGAATTGTGCACCAGACTTGAGCTCTAAATTTTGCATTTAGCCACTCAGGGTTTATTATCATGGCTGACAGCATTGCTTTACACAAATATATTAATCAATAATCCCCCAGCGAATGACTCCTACACAGACACTCACTCTATGCAGTTATGTAGTAGTTTTCAACATTTTCAACCTTCAAAAATGAGTCCTCGACCAAAGTATTGTATGTGTTTTTTCTTTCATTTCTCTTCTAAAGATACAGGTGCTCTCTGAAAAAAATTTAGCATGATTGAGAAGGATCCCAATTGTCAAGTTTCTGTTGTGCTCTGTATTCCCAGGGGCCTGTTAAGTACAGGGGCTGCTTTCAGAAGGGATCTTGATTAGATTTCTGATTGAAACATCAATTTTTCCACACTTCAAAATTTTATTTAATAATAAAGTGCTGTCAGTTTGTAAATGACATTAAAGATTTTCCTTTTGGAGTGCTTTCTAGGTAGTAAGAGGCTTGTGAGGCTTCTCTAGGAAATATTACTACATTGGCAAAGGAAAATGAGATTCTGTTGAAAAAGTATAGAGGTTTTTGATTGTGTAAGGACGATAAGCAGTATGAAATGGAACTTGTGTGCCATATTACATAAAGAAGGAAGAGGGGCATGCAAGATGTGTCTTGTAGAAAAGGAATGCTATTCAATTTCCATTTATCAATTTATCATCAATGTGGTCCAAATGAGATTTAGCTAATGGACTAAGGCAAAAATGGTCAAGCGTGAGTTGGGCTTAAAGAGAATTATGCCATTACTTAGGTTTTAGCCTTTTTAAGATGCTTATTACATAGGGATTTCTGCAGATCTGCACAAAATCAGATTTACTAATGCTGAAGTATCATATATGTTATTCGATATGGAGTGCCATGTCTGTTAAAAAGAGATTCTGAGATAGAGTCACAGGGCAGCTCTATATTTTACGCCATTACAGTTTTTGTTCACAAATTCCGAAATGACAATCATTCCAAACACGCCATTTGGAGATTTATCAGTTTAGTCCCTCACAATAAATTGCCACTGTGTGCAAAAAAAAAAAAAAGAGGTTTGATTTGTCACAGCGGCACATCTTGAGGACCAAGACGTGAGAGACGCAAATGGAATCCACACGCTCACTACGGAAGCCAATCAGTTGTGTGATTATTTCTACCAACATTTTCAGGCACAAAATTGTTCAATTAATTTTTACGGTTTCCATTTGACTCATCATCGTGGGTTCATGCAGACAGAGAAATGCAATTAGTTCACTTTCAATGCCCATCCCTGCCCATACGAATTAGTGTACAAAGGGTAATAACATGGAGCCCTAGCCAACTAATGAATTACCAGCTGGCTTGTGCCTCTCTCTGGAGGTTGACAGCTCATCATGGCGCTCTTGATTTTGATAAATGTTTCACCTCTGGGAACATGAAGCAAAAGTCAAGAGCACTTTGTATCTCGAACAAATATGTATACATTGTATGGTCAGGGCTCCTTTCACATGCGCATGCACACATACATGCACACGCACACTCACACATACACGTGCAAATGCACATGCACATGCAGCACAAAAAAATGAAAAAGAAGGACAAGTTGAAAGCTGGTTTAATGTTCGAGACCCAATATTTAATCTACTTTTATTCAGGGTACATGTATATGTGGAATAGCCTAACCTAATATTGCACTTGTATTGATTGAAAACTCAAGCCAGAATTCTTTCATCTTGTGAAACAAGCTAATATCTTCATTTAAATGGACCAATTCTGATTTATCTGTGGTCTTGATAATTTAAAATGTTTCATATTTATTTAATTTTTTGTTTGAAACTAGACGGAAGTTTATACAATTAGCTCAACCATTCAAGAACTGAAGATGATGACAGTAGCAAAGCTATAAGTCTAAAGTTTGGGCTGCTCTTCTAGTCGTGATTTATTTGCTTGGACAAGGAAATTTGCAAAGTGCAATGAGATGATTTCAGTCCATTACTTTACTAGCAGACAATGCTAGCTGGAGGATTTATTTGGGCTTATTGATTTGACTCCCACATTGTGTGCATTATACAGCTATCTAATCTCCTTCATATTTTACTTTTAACACTATTTATCACGATTTGGGTCATGCGGTTATTTTCAAAAAGGATCTTTGGTCTCAGGTCTCAGTCTAATGTTCAAAATATTGCATTATGTGGATTGGGCAATTTTTATCATTAATTTCTATATGTATCCAGAGAGGGCTCAGCTGCTTTTCAAAATTGTATCAATGACTGTCATTAATGTAGAAGTACTGTTTTATGTAAACTGTGTGCATAAAGTTCACATATACTGTGTGTGTGTGTGTGTGTGTGTGTGTGTGTGTGTGTGTGTGTGTGTGGTCCTATATCAGTACCTGGATAAACTGATCAAATACATGACATTACACAATGTAGCAACCCATGTAAGAAAATGTGTTGTTGTACATATCAACTGATACTCTTTGCCTTGGTAATAAGTATCGATATAGAGCGAAGGGTGATGCAATTAGAGGTGCTTGGAGGTATATACGACGACGTGTTTATCATAAAAGCAGGTAGATGTTTTCCAGTAGCAAAATAAATGTAGTGCTTTAATGTGGGTGATTTGTAACTTTTTTCCATTAAATCTCAGGTAATGTCACAGAGGCCATGCAGACTACAATTTTCTAGCAGGTTATGTTCTGTGTTTGTTGTGACGATGCATATTTTTCACTTTTGAGTTTGATATTCGAGAGGAAATATTCCCCTCGAAAGCCAGTGAAGGTTGCACCTTGGGAGTTTTTAACCAGAGTGGACCTTTGGGTTGGAAAATTGCTTTGATTGTATTCAGTGTTCCAATGCATTTTTTAGTTATGGGGAGAGAGACAGCAATTTTGCATAGAGAGGATTTGTGGTCGCAGCTCTGAAAGGGACAGAGGCCATCCCTGCATAATCAGTTGGTGCCAGTCAGACATCAGCGTAAGTCAGCAAGCCCATAGCTAGGGGATTTCTGGGGGTTCAAAAGAACCACCTTTTTGGTCAGGGTCATTCTGGGTAAAATTTGATCTAGGTATGCAAAAGTTTCACTGTAAAAGGTCCACTTTTTCAGAAAAAGAACCCCCTTTTGAAGTTGCTGGCTGCAGGCCTGGTCAGACTTTTTTATGCAACTTATATTATGACTTTCATAAACAAGCCGTAATAACCTACCAGTATGAGCTAGGTCTCAAGGCAAGATAGACAATTGATCAAATTATTGCAATTTTCCTGGTACTTTCCCCAGTGTGCAACATGATTATCTCAGCTTGTAGCCATTTTTGTCCCGTTGTGACTCCATAGGTACCTTAAAAGTGTATTCAGAACAGATGATCTACGAATAACTGATCCACCGACTAATCATGGCAGACCCCACTTAAAAGCAAGCTGCCCTAATCCCCTGCTGGTCTCCCTGCCTCCACACGTGCCATATTAAACGAATTAAATCTCGGCTCCAAGGTCGAAAGATTTCCACTTTTCGCTGGGCAAAGGTCCACTCTGGGTAAATTTGATCTGGGTAAAGTAAGGTTTCATGACAAAAGGTCCGCATTTTTAGAAAAAGAACCCCCCTTTTGCAATTGCTGGTTAAGGGTCTGGAATGCATGACTTACAAAATCTGCCACGGATATCCTAAGTTACAGAGGACACTGGTAATTAACTCATCGCCTCTATCTGCATGCATGCCTCTGCCATTTCCAGAGACCTGCGGCTAGTAAAGTGGTAGGGTTCCAATGTCCTCAGTAACTCTGGGTGAGGAAGGTAGGTTTAAGATTTTTTGGACTATTGGTGGATTTCAGACTTAATGGGAGCCAAAAATGACATTTTTGAGATCCATGCAGAGCTGCAATAGAAAAAAACAAAAGAGGAGGGGGGGGGGGGGGGATCTGGACCCCACCCCATATTTTCAGACTTTTGCACAAAATGGCAGTCTCATCCCTGTTCGCTTATCCAGATTATCCAATATGATTGTAAAAGTTTTTGTGTTGTTACCAATGCCTTGTGCAATTACATGTTGGTTTCCATCATATATTGATATTTGTCTAAAGAGTTTACCCAATAATCTATATTTCACACATCATTGGTTTTGCTTTTATTATTTTTTTATGTCAACAATAATTGTCTCAGTGCAATAAAGATGCTAGGCTATTTTTCTATTTCTCACAACTGTCTGTTCCAATACATGGTTATCCCTAATCACTAGCAGCAATTCTGAATAAGCCACAGAGGCAGCTCTTGAGGGCAATTAAGAGGCAATTTTCATGCAGACATTTGTGCACTTGCTATGTTCCATCATCAATTTCTCATCTATCTGATTTGATTTCATTTGCTTTCTGGCTGCTGAACAATTCAGTGTCGTCTGCAGCAACTGCTGCTGCTGCTGCTGCTTGTTTGAAAGGAGAAAGTTAAGAGAGGAGTTATTTCCGAATAGCTGCCATATGTTTTTATCCTACATATTTTTTGCCAACAGGAACAAGGAAGAAAGTTACATGTAAAAGAAGAATGTCACCTTGACTCTTTGAAGGTGATTTTAAACATTTTGAAGCATCTTGACAAACCAAAGGGAAAGAGAGCATAAAAGAATTTTCAACTCTGCATTTGAACATTCTCATTATTCATGAAGAATATATGGCAGCAGTTTTGTCAAACTCTGTGCAGTTATTTTAAAGCAGTTGGTTTTCAAAAATCTGGTTTTCTTTTTGCAGCACCAAAATACATGGTGACAGAATAGAATTCTAGTCCATGAAGAGAAACTAGGATCATATTCAAAAAGTAGCAGATTTGTCAGTCCATTGTATTTTTGGAGTACTATATGTACTTTGTTGTTTACAATAGTTTGTCAGTTTAAATATTAATTGCCAATTTTCGTTCACTTATATGGATTTTTGATAACATAGTGATAAACTACATATATATATGCATATAGTTTTGATCTCATGGGAAGAAATAACTGTAAGGAATACAGGCCTCTCATATCAGGATGAAGTATAGAAGATGTGCATAAACTGTATATTGTATTCATTGATTTACATATACATGCATTGTGCTAGTAGAACAGTTGGCTTGTTGCTGAGTGCACTACAAATTTTACATCAAACTATATTGAAGTCATCACTGTCTTATCAGGAAATGCACCAATTGTTGACCCGCAGGACTTAATATCAGTCAACCAGACAAGGGACAAGATATATCTGCTGTTGAGGTCACATTACCAACCAGGTTTTCAATCCCTGTTGAAATTTCAAGATGGCCTCCCCAGGAGAAGAGATGGCAGACGACATCATGGGTGTTGCTGTTTTTGGTACAGGACGGATAGGTGCCATACATTTTAAGCATTTAATGATTATGCCTGATGTTGAAGGTGAGTAATATTTGTTTTAAGGGGCATTTGTGCTGTTATAGCAATTTTTTAATCAATTAATTATTATAAAATTAAGAAAAGAAATTCCATTTCATGGATAAATTTGATAAAAAAAAATTTCAGACCCCCCTTTTTTTTTGCTCTCACTTTTCACTATTCATTGTCAGATATCTTTACTATCAGAAAATTTTGGACTTCCTATTTTAGGTGATTGGCATTATACTTGTTCGGTGAAGTGTTATCAGATATTTAAGATATGACCAAGGGTATCAGTTAGAATAATTATTATATTTCATTTGATCATCACATTGTTTTACATTAATTGACATCCTTTGACATTAAGTCTAATCATTCTCAAAATGTTCAGATCTGCAAATAATGGAATTTACAATATGTCCAAATCTCCAAAGTCTTTTTGAGCATCTGCGTAGCATTAAATTCCAATTTGAAATTGATTTGTTAGAAGCCAAAGTGTTTTTTATATCCATTTCGCTATGCATCATGCTGATACCAAATCATGCACTATTGATAATATTTGGCAACAGGTTGTTTAATGTGTTATTCAGTAGCTCAAATTCTCTGTATGATTTTTCTCAGTAGGCTTTTAGTGAAATTGCCTAAATTGCACGCTATCACATCCGTATAATGTAAGATGTTTGAACAAGAGCCCATGTAGGAGTGGATACAGGATTATTTGAAGGGAGGGGGATCTGAGGATGCAAAGCCCCCCCTTCCCTCCCCCCTTTAAGCCTAGGCCGCAACTACGTTTTGGACACACGGTTTTTAGGTTCCTTGCGTCTGGCTAGGACGTAGCTAGATCAGAGGGAAGAAATCAAGTAATTGGTGAAAATTTTCTACGTGCTGTTTGCGTCCTCCAAAAGTCGCACGATGGACGTCCTCCTCACGCACAAACTCCCACGTTTTCCCCATTTTTATGGCCGTAGACCTCACATAGCAGCCCATACGTTCGGTTGGGACCTAGGCTTTAGTTGACCCAGTCATATAGAACTTGGATCAAATTTGGATTCAGAGCAGACCTTTTCTGGCCAAAGGGTGGTTCTTTCTTACTATATGACCACCTCCCCCTTCCCTGTTCCCCTTTTTCAAAAAAAAAAAGGGAGGGGTGAAATAAGGTTCTGAGATATTGAAAACACTTTTATATTTCGCACATTGGATTATTTCCGATTAGAAAAGGTATTTGAACAACCAGCAGAATAACATGGGCTCTATCTGGGGGCCACGTTTGAGGTGAAGAGGAATATGTGATATATTAGTAAATGGTCTTGACTGTTCGGACTGTTACGTACTAGTGCCAAAAACCAATCAGCTGAGTATGGAATGGGTGGCAGGTGATAAAGTCACTACATACCTAGCTTTATGTGTTGTAAAAAGTAAAGCTTATACAGGCTGATAGCCAAAAAAAAAAAAAAAAAGATACTAGATCAGCAAGTGGTACAAGCCTGCAGCATATAGTAATGAAGATTGATGGATAATCATCTCAATTTCAGAAATGTCTGAGTTTTTTTTGTTTTTGTTTTTTTAATAAACCATCATATTTTGCAATTGCATGCAGTGAAGTTCACTGCAGAAATAATTTAGTCACTGTTGTGAATATTCAATAATCTTTCCATTTTATTTAGCTTATAGACACTTGAAATCAAGTGTTCTTATCTTAATTTGCTGGTTTGATGAAAAAAAGT